CCAATCTGAGATACCACATATAAGTAGAATCGTGCAGTATCTGTCCCTCTGTGACTGGTTTCTTTCACTTAGCATGATGCCCTTCAGGTCCATCCATGTTGTCAAAAGTGACAGAATGGCCTTCTTTTTCAAGGCTGATATTCCACTGTATGCACACACCACATTTTCTTTACCTCTTCATCTGTCAGTGGACATTTGGGTTGTTTCCATATCTTAGCTATTGTGAATAATATTACAATAAACATGGATGTGCAGACATCACTTGAGGATCCTGATTTCAGTTGTTTTGGGTACATATCCAGAAGTGGGATTACTGGATCATATGACCATATTTTTAATTTTTAAAGGAAACTCCACGTTGTTTTCCATAGTGACTACACCATTTTACATCCCCACCAACAGTGCACCAGAATGAGAGTGTCTTGAATCCCAATCTTGACTCATTTGAGGAATAACTTCTGTCTCTGAAAAGGGACCACAACAAAGATCCCTTCCCGTGGCAATAAAAACAAGCATTCCTTGTTTCAGGACCTCTACCCCAGCAGATCCTTGCATGCTTTCTCCAACATGCCCTACCAAGGGGCACTCACTCCTTGTCAAACCAGACCCCTGAATCTTAGACCAGTCAGGTCTTTCCTCCCAAGGAGATGGACTTGACATTCCTGGATGCCTCCACCCACTGCCTCTGGCTTTTCAAGGCAGCTTGGGAGACTGATCATCTTCAAGTCCTCTGGACGCAAAAGTGCCTTGAGAAAGGAAGAGCGGGAATGGGTGAGCTGGAGATACAATCTGCTTCTGCCTTGCCCCGGCTTCCAAGCCCCGCAGAAAACCAAGTTCCCGAGGCTGCCACTCTCTGCAGCTGCTTCTTTAAGAAGTGCCAAGGGGCTGGTCCTTTCTACTGTCCTTGGATCCTGTCCAGGGCCCTGATTTAAAAGGTATTACAACGTTTTTTAAAAAACAAACATGTGTTGTAACCCAAGGCCCTGGTAACCACAACACTGCCGTTGCTGGCTACCACCTCCCAGGCTAAGAGGGGAGGAAACTGCTCTCCGCCTGCCCGCCTACCCGCCTGCCCGAGGCACCCCACACTCTGCAGCACCCGCCGCCGCCAGAGTTCCCGTAGTTCCCGTATTATATCAGGCTGGGAGCTCAGTGAGGGCAGGGCCGGAGCTGGACCTGGGGGCTGCGGTCCTTCCAGACTGAAGTGCCTTTTGGGCCTGCGCCAGCTCTCTCCCAAACCATTCCAGTAGATATTTGACGGCTCTAGGCCAGAGCTCTCTAGGTACACCCTCCACCGGAGCCCCCAGTGACCATTTACAACACCAGGCTCATTGTGCCGCTCCCACTGCCCACAGGACAAGTAAAAGCTGGGCCTTCAAGTCCTCTCCTGCCTGCCAATCTGCACCTCCCTTGCTCCCTGCATTCACCAGCCCTCCGGCCACACTGAGCCACTGAGCCCCCCTAAAAACCCACACAGCACCAGGCCTGAAAGATCTTCCCTACTCTCCTTTTTTTTTTAATTTTATACACGTATATGTTGCAAAATTATCACCACCACATTAACATGTAATGTTAGCTACATCCATCACTTTCTTGACAAGAAGAACCCCTACTAAATCTGCCCAGCCCCCCCTCAAACATCACATCCTTGGTGAAGCCTGCCCTGCCCTGCTCTCTCCCAGATGGAATTCGTTATTCCTCCTGCTTCATGGTATTTTTCCACACCCCTTGTTACATTACATGTCTCCTGGAGCAGAGACAAGGTAACCTTTTTTTTTTTTTAAGATTTTATCTATTTATTTCAGAGCGAGAGAGAGAGAGAGAGAGAGAGCACAAGTGGGGAGAGGGGCAGAGGGAGAAGCAGGCTCTCTGCTGAGCAGGGAGCCTGATGTGGGACTTGATCCCGGGACTCCGGGATCACGACCTGAGCCGAAGGCAGATGCTGAACCGACTGAACCACCCAGGCGCCCCTGCAATGTAACCTGCTGCAAATATTTTGTTTAGCTTACATGATGGTTTGAGGAGGCAGATTTTACATTAAAAAAACAAAATAAAACAAAGACAGCTTTCTAGTTTCTCTTGAACAATTGGAAAGTCGGGCCAGCCTGGGCCTTCGTATCCTATTGATGCCCATCCACTGCAGCACGCCCACTGGTGCTCCTTTTAGATGGCAGTGGGGGTCCCCAGTTTGCACCCTGCCCCCGTCTCCCGCTGGACCCCTCCTAATTAATATACCAACCCAGCCCCGTAGACATTTGGGTTTTAAGCCTTGGACCTACATTATTTCTCACATATGTTCTGGGCCACTCCCATTTACCAATTGTGGGAAACAGAACGCCACCTCGGAGTCTGAGCACCAATATTGGACTTCCTCGTCCCTATAATCTATTTAGGTATTCCAGAAATTCCGGTCTGTTGGCAAAGAGTAAATGAATGAATAGAATCAGGTCACTAAAAAACATAAATGTCACACTTTCCTTTGTCAAATCAAGTGCTCCAATTTTGGACTTGGGAAGCAGAGTGTCTGTCCTCACCGTCCTCTGACTCTCGTTCCAGTTACGTTCCTACAGGTAAGATGCTCTCGTTGGAACGGAGCAAGGAGGGTGTCATCAGGGCCAGGAGGACCGACAGGCGGGGGATGGGGCAGCTATCTGTTGGGAAAGGGTGGCTTAAATTGTGAGTACATAGCAGTTGACATAGATGGACAAGTATTCATTTTTCAAACTGAAGAATGAGGTGGGCCCGGAGAAACTGGGATCCCACTGAACAAGGATATACAGTAAATATGTTTGAAACGGAATGGAATCAAGAACATGGTATCAGGTAGAAACATGCAGAAGGTCCAAGCCATTCTCTGATAAAGGGGATGAAAGAGACACATAGGAGGGACAGGTCCATTACAGACTTAGGTGCAGCCAGACAAGTGAATATCCATCTCTGACCCAGAAAGCCCCCAGCTGGTGTTGCACTCCTGCTCGTTCAATTACATTTAAATCAACAAACTGTTCACCAGAGGACTGTCTCCAGAAGGACTCACTCTTAGTTCTAGAGGGGAGATGACTCAGGGCCTGGCTCAGAACCCACAGCACAGTCCCCTGTGTTTCACATGGAGGGTACAGGTGGGGGTGACCTAGACACTAGCTCAGCCAAGGATGTCTCAAACATGGAAAATGGGGCTCACACATAGACTCACTGAGCCCTGGGCCTCACTCTCTACCTCATCTCTACGCCCATTTAAAAAAAAATCGCCGTCAGACAGGAGGAGGAATAAAGGTCGAAGCTGCTCAAACATAAGCATACATCCGAATGACCCAGAGGACTTGTACAACACAGATGCCTAAGCCCCACATCTGGCATTTCTGATTCAGCTGGTCTTGGGGGGGTGGGGAGGGGAGCAAGAACTTCTAACAATTTCCCAAGAGATGGGGATGCCGCTGCCGATCCCTGAACCACATTTGAGAACCATTGATGTGAACAAATGTCCATTCCTGTTCATTACTTGTAGTTTCCAGAGCCCACTTACGGTGCTGGGCAGTTTTCCTTAGAGAAAATCCCTGCATGATGCTGATCCTCTCCTACTCTGCATTACATATAAGATTCTTGAGAACTTCCATCTGAACTTTATCCAACAGAGATAACATGAACCAATGATTATTGACACAAATCAACTTTTGGTAAAGAAAATGGTAAAGTGAATCTTACCTGCCTGCTCTCCCAAGGCAGCCCCAAATCCCAAACCCCGGGGCTCCTGGGAAAATAGGCAAGGGTGGCTTCTCGCTCATTAGCATTACTCAGGCTCCCTTCTCCTTTCCCAAAACTTCCCCATTGATTCAGTTCCACACAATTCAATATAATTAATGTAGCAACTCGATTCCCTGCTGAGCTGATGATCCACCACAACCATTGGAGCCACAAGGCTTGAACTTCAGTATGAATATTCCTTAGACCGGATTCTCCAGTTCCTGATAGATAGGAAAAGAGGGAGGGCTCCAGAGGATTCCAATGCACATGAGCCTGCCCATTCCTTGAGAGATACTCCAATAGAAGTCTAAAGACTCGGGTGCCTGGTTGGCTCAGTCAGTAGAACATGCTACCCGTGATCTCAGAGTCATGAGTTCAAGTCCCACCTTGGGGTAGACCTTACTTAACAACAACAAAAAGCCTAAAGACTCAAAAACTTTTTCTCTCATTTTTTCCTCTTATATATAATTTCAAGAGGAAGCTATCAAAACCAACATTTCCATCAAAGGTCTGGCAAACCTTTCTCAACAGAGCCTCACTTCCTACCTCCAGAACTGAAGCTGGGGTCTCCAAAAGGAAAACATTCCAATTAAGTCCAATATAATAAACCTTAATTACTGACCTATGAATTGGTTAGAAATTGCTTTCTGCTGCTGGTGACAGAATCTCAATGGCAGTGGCTTAAACAAATTTGTTTTTTATTCTATTGTGTGAAAAAATTAGGAAGCAATTGAACAAGGCTGGTATGGAGGCTTGATAAATCCATCAGAGATCCAGGCTCCTATCTTTTTGCTCAGGGGAATAATATGGCTGCTGGAAGTCAGCCATCATGTCTGTATTCCAGGCAGGAAAAGGGGGTGGGGTCAAGGAAAAGGGGGAGTCCTCTTCCCAGCTGAGTCATTTCCTTATTAGAAATTTTCCTGGAGGGGCGCCTGGGTGGCTCAGTGGGTTGAGCCTCTAACTCTTGATTTCAGCTCTGGTCGTGATCTCGGGATCGTGGCATCCACCCCATGCCGGGCTCTGTGCTGAGCATGGAGCCTGCTTGGGTTTCTCTCTCTCTCTCCCTCTGTCTCTCCTCTCTCTCTCTCACTTAAAAAAATAAATAAGTTTTCCTGGAAGCCCCAACCAGTAATCTCTCCTTACATATCACCAGCCACCCCTAGACCCTAGATGCAAGGGAAGCTGGGCAAGTAGCCCGCTAGTCCACACATTGCTGCCCCAGAGAATAGGATGATTCTATAACTAAGGAAGAGGGAAGAATGGAAGCCGAGTACGGTGACTGGAAGTCTCTGCCACAATCTACTAAGTACCGGGTGGGGTAAGGAGGGAGGAAACGGAGCTGTGTAACCCTTAGTCTAGGAGTGGGGACCCACAGAGCCCACAAACAAGTACAAGTCAGAGGAAAGCCGCACGTGCGTCGAGAGAGCTGCAGAACGGGGGCCGCAGGCTCTTGGCGGGGGAGCACGTTCGGTCTGCGGCTGGGTGTTCCGTGGGACCACAACCCACACAGAAGGGTGGCACGGAAAGTCACTCCGGGCACACCACACGCTTGGGGAACAACTGAGCTCGGTCGGAAGAACCTGAACAGAAAAAGCTTTCAGGGCTAGAAAGACATTTAGCATCACTGAGGTCAAAGGTTCTTTTTTTTTTTTTTTAAGATTTTATTTATTTATTTGTCGGAGAGACAGCGCGCGCACGCGCACAAGCAGACGGAGCGGCGGGCAGGAGAAGCGGACTCCACGCTGAGCACGGAGCCCAATGCGGGACTAGATCCCAGGGATCCTGGGATCATGACCTGAGCCAAGGCAGACGCTTAACCAACTGAACCACCCAGGCGCCCCGAGTTCAAAGGTTCTTAACCAGAGAGGCACATACAGCCTTACCGCAGGGGCTTCGAGGGTCCCTGAATTGCCTGAAATTCTACACAAAAGTTTTTATATATAGGTATATTGTACTTATCTTATGAAAGAAGTTCAGGATAATCCCCATAGTGTTCTTTCCAGTCTTTCCCAAAAGAGCCCACCCTGTCCCTGACTTTTGTCCCCCTACACACTACCTAGCCACCAACTCTAATTCCTCATCCCCCAGCTCCCCAACCCTCACCCTCTACCCTGACTGGACTCATGCTCTTCCTCCCTCTTGTAATGGCTCTTCTCTGCTTCTCCTCTTTCCCTAGATATGGGAAGATGGGTAGTGATCTCCCCATTGCTAGAAGTACAAAAACAGAGACTGCACAAACACCTAGAAGGGAAATTATTAAACAAATTTGTCTTAGTTGCAAGCAACAGACACCAACCTGAGATGGTAGGATTCCTTTCAGCATGAACATCCTTTGGTATTGGTATTCCTCCAGGAAGTCCTCCTTCCCTGACCCCTATCCACTATGGTCTCTTATCTTCCTTTAATACTAATACTTTCCACAACTTAACATTAGCTTTATAACCTGTTTTATATTGTTCCCCCTCTTGTTCTATATATAACTCTAATGTAAGAAAAAAAAAGCAGATTATAACTAATCCAAGGACAAAAACTGAGTCTCCTTCCCTTGTACTTTCACCATGCCTTACCCAAAGAGTGACCAATCAACCCAGCGGACCTAGGACTGAGGAGACGTGGGACTTTCAGAGCTAAAAGTGCAGAAATCCTGAGCAAACCAGGATGAGTCAGTCACCCTACTTGCCCAAGAAATGGGCGCATTGATGGTTGACATTTCTGCTGTTCACCAGTTTTTCTGGTTCTCCTCTCCTTTGGGTACACACTGTCCTTTCCCATCCCCCTGAAGTTGAGCATGACCATGTGACTTGCTTTGGCCAATAAAATGTGAGCGGACTTAATGTGTGTCACTTCTGAGTGGATGCATTTAAGACCCTACGCATCATTCTCTGTATATGCTCTTCTCATGTGCTGGCAAAACTTGAAGGCCTAGTGTTGAGATGCCTGCATCACAGGATGGTGTAGAATGTCTGTGTGCAGCAGAGTCCCCTGCCTCCCCATGCTGGACATGCAGTGGGAGCAAAACTTAGCTTCACTCATGATAAGTCAATGCATTTTTATGTGTTTCACTACCTCGGCAAAACCTAACCTAACCTGACTGGCTCATTAACCACCGAAAATTTCGATATTCAAACTCAAGTTACTAAATCAAAATAACTCTTTAGAGTTTTTTCTTAGGACAGAGCTTTAAAGCGTATCACCAAAAAGCCAGTTGTATGAAAGTGGGGGAAATCTGAGCCCGGGTCTCCCAGGAAGCTCAAAGAAGCTGGAGACAAGAGCTCTTGAGAACAGAGGCTCCAGGAATAGAATTTGCCTTCCTATTTCTTACCTACCAGCCCAAGCCGTTGACTTCAATTGTTGGCATTAAAATTTCAGATCAATTTTGGAAAGTGCAACTCTTCAGTGTTCAGATGGGAAACTCTCCAAAAGGGGAAGCAACTGGTTGAGGATCAAACAGACCACTCCTGGTTATGATCTCCCCACACATTTTTGGCCATTTTGTCTTTTTTTTTTTTTCTTTTCTACCTAGTTAATTCACATTGTCCCTTTCTTTGGGATTTCATATATTTTAATCCATGTATTCACTTGATGGTGAAAAACTAGTCTCAGTCTCATGAATGGATTTAGAAACATATTTTTTTTTAAACTTTCCTCTCACAATGATTTTCTTATAACAATAGTCATAAGCGTATACGTATTGTTTAAAATATCTAAAATCTCACCTATAGAAACGTAATTACTATTAATACTTTTTAAAAATAATAATGGAGGGCGCCTGGGTGGCTCAGATGGTTAAGCATCTGCCTTCGGCTCAGGTCATGATCCCAGAGTCGTGGGATCGAGTCCCGCATCGGGCTCCCTGCTCCTTGGGAGCCTGCTTCTCCCTCTGCCTCTCTCTCTCTCATGAATAAATAAATAAAATCTTAAAAAAATAAAAATAAAAATGGATTTGTTACTTCTTTTAATTAAAAAAAAATCATCCTCATGAGTATTTTTACTGGTTACATGACTTTCTGTTTTTATAGATATATCCTAATTTATTTAACCAACCTCCTTTTTCTTGGATATGTAGGTTGTTTTGGGTTTTGCCTGTTTGTTGGTTTATTAATTTGTTTTTAAATCCTGAACACTGTTTCAATAAGCACTGTAAATTTAAGGAGACACTTTTCCTCATTATCTGCTTAGCACATCCTACGGCAGTGGTTCTCAAACTTTAGCAGGGGTCAGAATCACCTGCCAGCCTTGTGAAACTAGATTCTTGAGCCACATCCCCAGAGTCTAGGATCTGTAGGTCTGGGTGGGGCCTGATAATTTGTATTTCTAACAAAGCTGTCTGGTAGTGTGGATCCTGCTGATTTGGGGACAACACTTTGTGAACCACTGTCCTATATTATTCTTCCTTCCAAGAACCTCATATCATCTGTGTCCTTAGTTTCCTTCCTTAGAACCTGCTACATTTGGTTTTATACTCGGTGGAGGGGGAAGTTCCTTTGTAGTCTCATACTCTTTCCTCATTCATGACTGTAAGTCCCTTTCACATTTGCATACCTTCCCAAGTTTCTCTGGCCTGGTATCATTTGCTAATAGACACGCAGATACACATGCACACTGACTTTCAAAGTTAGGTGTGGTTTTGTTGCATTGCCACTCTCAGAAACCTCAGGTAGTAACAGAGTGAGGGTAAATAAAAGTTCTCTTCCCCAGGTAGTGACCTGTTCTGTCCCTTATTCCCACTGCATCTGCTTGTCTGCTTCACAAAGTGTTGTAATGGGTAACATCTATCCAAGTTGGACAGTGTTACAGTTGCTTGTGAGCTGGGAAGAACTATTGACCCAGAAGTGAAGAGGCATTACAATTTAAGTAAGTATCATTATATATTTGTAGGGAAGTGGTTCAAAGCTTAGGTTCAGGAATTAGAACTGGAATTTATTTGGGCTCTGGTACTCACTAGCAACGTGAGCTTAGGCAAATCACGTCTCTGAGCCTCATTTTCCTAACCTGTAATGTGGAAGGAATAATACCTTTGTTGCAAGGAGATGGGAAAAAATAAAGTAACACGTACAATGTAGGCGGCACAGAAACAGCTCTCAAGAAACGGTAGCTGTTGTGTTTTCTAAGTAATTGTTTTAATTTTTTTCCTGGCTTTTTCTCCGCCAAGGGCCCGGAAAAGCATCCGTTGCTCCTAGGGATCTCTTCTGCCCTGGCCCAAGGTTGTTATCATTTACCGAGATTCTGGTCACCTGCCTCGGGCGGCGGCACCGCGAACGCCTCGGGCGGCGGCACCGCGAACCCCGCGGGCTTCGCGGAGGCCCTGCTCTTCGGGTATTTACGGCGCGCGGCCGCCCCAGCTCCGGCTCAAGTCTGCGCTTCCAGGTTCAGTTTCAGGGTCTCGCCGGCAGCCCCGGCCGGCGGGCGCGCGGCGTTCAGCGGGGCCGCGACGGCTGGGTCCTCCGGGGAGCCCCCCGGAGTTGGGAGGTGGCGTCCGGGAGTCCCCGGAGGAGGATGGGCTGCGGACACAGCAGGCTGAGCTGCTGCAAAGCCCCCAAAAAGGTAAAGGGCTCCGGCGGCGAAGTTTGCCTCGGGAGGGGAGGAGGGTGCGGAACCGCTCCGCCGCAGGGACTCTCGGAGCCGCCGGCCCCCTCCGGTCGTCCCAGGGAGCCGGGCGGAGGACGGAGAGAGGCCGGCGCGGAGGGAGGCGGGGAAAGCTCGGCCGGGCGGCGCTCTTAGCCCCGGCCGCGGGCTGAGCCGCGCGGGGCAGCCGAGTTTACCGACACGGCCCCTGGGCCCGGGAAGCGCGGCTAATTCCGGCGGCCCGAGCGGGAAAACGTCTAGTGCTATGGCAGGTGCCCTTTTCCTTCCGTCCGGGGCTGCTCGCTGTGTGGCCACGGACCAGTGACTTGACCTCTCTGGGCCTTCCGCTTTTCCCACCGTTCTGAGGCACACAATCTCTGAGGCCGCTACTCTGAGTGGTCCACGGATTTACAGCAGCGGCACCACCCGGGACCTGTTTGAAATGCAGAATCTCAGGCAGTGCCCCGGACCTGCCAAAATAGAACCTGCCAAAATAGAACCTGCCTTTTAGCGAGATGTCCAGGTGATTACAACAGGGTTTAAAGTTTGAGAAGCGCCGGTCTGGAGCCTCTTCAGGCCCCAAAGCCGGTGCGTGTGGGCTGTCCTGGGGGTAGCTGGGAGGGGCCAAAGAGGGAGGACATCTACCGCCTGCTGCTGCCCTTCCTTTCCTTCCTGTCCCTCCCCCAGGGGCCTCGGAGCTGGGTTAGGGCCCAGGAGACTCTACTCGGGTTTCTGACAGTGGGACCAGGTGCCCCTTGGGTTCTGACCAGCACAGAAGGTCAGAGCCTGGAGCCAGAGGACAACTTCCTCGGGGGAACAACCGAGGCGCAGAGGGGGAAAGAAGGACCCTCAACTTCTAACCCTTCTTCCTACTACTCCCTGCTTTTCAGCCAGGTGGGAGGAGGTGGTCCCATAAACTTGATGAGCAGTCCTCCGGAGACCCTGAGAGGCCCCACACTGCAACCAAATGTCGTTATTTTTCATAAAACTCAAATCAATCAATCCCCACCCCACCCCCCACCCCCCCACCCCCCCGGTTTACTGGGGCCAAGGCAAGCTTTCCCTGCCCTGTGCTAGTTCAGGGAGAAGAGTTTTCACCCTAAGTACAATGCTTCTTACTCCTCCTTTATTCCTAGTTCAAGAAACCTCACCAAGCTCTGACCGAGAAACCCTCCTGTCTTCCCTTACTCCGACAGGGAAACTGAGGCTGGCCTGCCACCGTGGAAGCCGAGGGCTGGCTGATGGGGATGGTGGGCAGAGAAAGCTGAGCCTGCCTTGAGACCCAGAATGGAGCCAGTGATAGATGGACATCAGTCCTGGCTCTGCCATAATAAACATGATACATGACCTCAAGCAAGCCCGTACCACTCTCAGGGCCTCAGTTTCTCCCTCTACATGGAGAAGGGAGGGAGATGAGCAGGATGATTTCTAAGGGTCTGAGAGTCTGTGTTCTCTGTACCTGTGTCAACGTCTCCATCTGCAAAGTGGGCCAAGAGTGAATTCCATCTAGGCAGGGGCGGAAGGAGACCTAAAGAGGGGCCCTGTTCCAGACCTGACCCTTCCACAGTGAGCATGGGTTCCCCTGCCTCCTTGCCCTTCCAAGAGCCTTACCAGCTGTCCCTGTCTGTCCTTGGCACAGCCTGAACTGGACGACACCCCTGCCCACAAGCTGTGAAGGGCAAGTAAAGCCCGCACAGATGATCCCAGTGGGAAAGGGCCCTGGGTACCACCTGGGCTGATGTGCAGAGCAGAGGGTAAGGCCTGGAGAAGGGAAGGGTCTTGACTGAGGTCACAGAGTAACTTAGAATGGAACCCCAGTATCCGGCCCCCTAGTCCGGTGCTCTTTGTCTCTGGCTTCCAGTGGCTTCTTATTGATTCCAAAGCCCTTTGGCATTAAAGCCTTCATTCTGTTGCCTCAGGGCAGTCCGGCATGTCTTCCTGCCCCAGAAATGCCAGGCCCCTGCCCCCGTGTGGCAGGATCTATAAGCCAGTTCATTTAAAGTTCACTCCTGTTTCCATCTCTCCAGGCTGTGCTCCTGCCCAGTTTCTCATCCAGGTGCCAAGCCCCGGAAAGCCTGAGCTCCCAAGGCCATCCCCACCAGCTGTCAGTCCCCCGGGGGACACAGGGCTCTAAGGATGGGATGTACAAAAATGAGCTCACACCACAAAAGGGTTAGGTCATGGCAACAATGACTCACCCTGAATGGCAGTTTACAGAGAGCTTTCACATCCCGCGGGCCTTACAAAAGCCCTGGAAGCTAGGCTGAGCTGCCAAATCTTTGCCACTCCACAGGTGAGGACACGGAGGTTCAGAGAGGAGTGATGTGTCCAAAGTCATAGAGCCAGTTGATGACAAAGTTGTTCACCTGAGCCTGGTTTTCTGCACGCCCCCATCTGGTGCTCATTGCCTCCTACAGAGCAGGTGCTGCAGAACTAGTTGAGTGAACAAATGAGGGCCAAACAGCCAGGCTAGGGGTTAGCCCGGGGTGCAGCAGCTGTACCTCACCCAGCCTCAAGAGATACAGGAAGACTCCTTGGATGGGGGAAGATGGGGTGTGGGGATGCCTTGACTGAACGTTGAGGGGTTTGGTAGGAGTTACAGTCGAGGCAGAGCGAAGAGCCTGAGCTGGGGCTGAGCCAGAGAAAGTGCAGGATGACGGGGCTCATTGTTGAAAGTGGAGGTGGTAGGCAGCAAGGAATGAGCTCGGAGCTTTCAGCAGGGACTACACTGCCTAGGGACAGAGGCTTGACCGCTAGGACCTCTCAGTCCTTCCAAGTTCAAGGATTAGAGGGTTTGCTGAGTTCTGTAGTCTCCTGTGCCTGGTGGCCTTAGCCAGGAGACCCAACCTGAGGCTAAGTCACTCCCTTATTGGGATGAGTTGAAATCCTGATGGATGCTTGAGTGGGGATCCCTGGCAGGTAGGTGCTCAGGAGCCATCTGAACTGTCTGGTCCTTCCTAAACCCATATTGACTGAGACCATGGGTGCTGTGGTCATGTCCCCAGGAGGACTTGGGAGGAGAATGGACAGAGAGGGGAGGGGCCAAGGAAACAAATTTGCCAGGGACTTGCCTGTAGGAGTGACAGGGGAGTCCAGAGGCCCCCCTGGGCAGGGGTGGGGAGGGACACCTAGTGCCTCATGGTCAACCCCCTGTGTGTGTGTGTGCCTGGTATGGTGTCCGAACTCCCCAGCCCCCAGGACTTTGGCTCTGGCCACCGAGCAGAGAGTCAGAGAACCCACTCAGCACTGCTCCCACAGCTGGGCCTCGGGCAACGGGTTCTCAATGGGTCCGGCTTTCAGGAGCCCTTCAGGAGCACTTCCAGGTAGCAGGCCCAGTGAGAGAGGGGGACAGATGCAGAAGTGAATGACCTGGCTACCCTGGGGTGCAGGGTATAGGCTCGGCATAGGCATACAGAATCCAGAAACAAACCACGGACGCCAAGGATGTGGGCTTTAGAGCTGGGCTCATGTGTTCATTTCCTCACTGGGCACAGCGGGCTGGGTGCTAGGTGCTGCTTCAGTCCTGGCTCAATCGCACTCCGTTAAGTGGCTGTGGAAAGGGCTTGGCTTCTCCATGCTTCGGTTTCCTCATCTGTGAGATAGGTGTGAGATTCGCTCCTGGGTCATAAGGTTGTTCTAAAGATTAGTTGAAAGAAGGCATGCAACAGAGCCTCTGAGACACTGACTGGCAAGTGGCATGCCTTTGATAAGAGGTGATGTGGGTAATGCCAGGGAGATATAATTATACCTCACGGACATCACTGCCTGGATTGTACCAGGGGTGTGGGAGACAGGGGGACATTAATGTCCTCGGAAGGCTGTTGGGGTTGGGGACATGAAGCCTGGAGCCTGGCCGTTGCCTTCGAATCTCTGAAGTGTTGCCAAGGGGACATGGGGAGCAGCCTTGTTCTCTGTTGTTCCAGAAGGCAGAATTGTGGCCGCTGAGGGGAAGCTAAAGGAAGCCAGATTCTACTTCTCGTGAGGAAGAAAGGTAGCAAGTTCCCCATCTCCGGAGGAGTTCAAACAGAGGTCAGGTGACATTTTGGCAAGACTAGAAGAGGGCATGTAAGCCTAGGACTAGTAAATATTTAGGATTCCGCTTAAGAAATCTAATTTTGATTATTGTAATGTTTGAGGCAAAATTTCAGAACTTGGAAAAATATAAAGAAGTTTAAAAATCACCATTAAGACATAGCCTCTGTGCACATTTCACTGCCCTTCTATTTTTCCTATATATATAATACACATGAGGGTGACTATTTTTACACGACTGGGACTATATTTTAAAGTGGTTATATTCTAGTTAATATTTTGCTGGAGGCATTCCTGTTACATAGTCCATGGAAACATGATTTTTAATGGCCAACTAATATTCTGTGGCTTATGTAACCAGTTTGGACACTTGGTTGTTTGCATTCCCCACTCCTACCCTCATTCTTTATGAGCATCCTTTGCATGTTCATCCTGATGGGTGGGGGAGGGGTGGCTCTGAGCTCAGAGGGGAGGGGGTTGCTGAGCGAAGTCCTCCTGAGAGAGCTGGCCTCTTGGCTGGGTTTTGAAGGTTGGTGGGGTGGGACTAGACAGTTGTGTTGGGGTGAGTGGTATATAGGAAAGTCCGGGCTCCTGACACCTGGTCAGTAGGAACAAGGCAAATCTGGCCTTTTAGCTTGGTTTGCCGAGGGTGGGATGGTTAAGGAACCTGAGAAGACCTTCCTGGGCCCTGATCCCTCTGCCCCAAGCATAATGGAGACTTTAGTGTGTATGTAGCCTCTGAGCTGGTGGTTTTTGCCCAACCCATAAAATCACCACAGCTAAAGCCAATATAGGCTTCCATATGTATGCACTCTGAAAATCTTGGGAGGTCAAAAGCCATTTCTGTTTTATAAAAGGACATCTGTACCCAGTGACCTAAGACGTTAGAAAACTTTCTGACAACCCTTGCCTTAGAGACGCAATCTTTGGCAACACGTTTTCTGCAC